AACTTGCGAGTTTCAAATTAAATGTCTCTATTAAACATCCTGAATTTTCCTTGTAAGAGAACAGTTAAAATACAAATACAAATCAGACAAATGCTGATACCAAGGCACCAAATTGCTATTTCAGTGAAGTTGATAAGCCATTTTTCTGGGAAGACCACCCATTAATTCCATCTCCCCACTGCCATTCTGAGGAGTTAAATCTTGTTTTTGTGGATTCCTGCCAGGGCACTCCGGGTGGTAAGATGCTATTTGTTTTTGGTGGTGCAAGTGTTTGCATTCATTCATGCTTAACATCAATAGTGCACAAAAAAAGGAACTGAAAGCCATTTTGAAAGAAATTGGATTATAGAGAACATGCAAGGGGGGCTGGCTCAGAAACTGCAGCATGAGAATGCTAAGTGACTCGTTTCCAAGTTTCCAAACAGTCTGCTGATGCTTAACTGATTTGCCTCATATCATTGTACCAGAAATTGTTCATCATTTCTCCTAACATCATGACATTAAAATATTGAGTTTAGCTGTATGTTGACTTGATAAAGCCGATGCAGATCATCATTGGTGAGGGCGTGCTGAAGAAAAGATAAATGTCAAACCTCGTAAATGGGAATTAATTTCAAATTGCCTATATTAGGATTTACTGTCTGACTTGAGAAAACCTACATAATTAGTTATACGTTATAATCCGTTTCACTATCCTATGCATTATTTTTTTCCAAACTGTGTTGATCAGGTTTAAGTTCAACAAGTTCCCATTGGAAGGAAAGGTGAGCAAAACTGACATGAAGGAAAATGGATAAGGACAAAAAGGGACTGCTACCACTTGTTTAAAGTTAAAAGTTTTTCATAAAATTGACTTCTTACTCCGAGAACAGGGGTCGGCAAACTTTTGAAATGGAAGAGCCAATCCTGCCCCTCACAACAATTTAAAAATTATTCGAGAGCCATAAAACAAATGAAATCACCATTATGTGAATAATATCCTTTAAAAATTGTATAAATGAAACTATGATAGTTTTATTTTAATTTTCAATTTTACTTCAGAGCCACATGTACGTACCCAAAGAGCCGCATGTGGCTCGCGAGCCGCAGTTTGCTGACCCCTGTCCTAGAGGATTAAAAGGCCCCCTTTGAGTCATGAATAGAGTACACCACCTACTGCCATGTTTTGAGGGACAAAAGTATTTAATTTGAACCAAAATGCATAAGCGCACACTGTGTCAGTTCTGAAAATAAAAATTACACCCTTGATACCTAGTAACTTATAGTCTAGTTGGAAAAAGACATGTGAACAAATAAGTGCAACTCAATTGTGAGATAGTAATAATGCTATGTTAAAGAGAAAGCGTAGTATGATGGCTGGGTTATGCCAGATAGGATTGATGGTTATTTTGGGGGGGGCTGTCACTGTGGAAGAAGTCCACACCCTTGGAAATATTGATATATGGCTTCCATTGTTCATTCAAGATCTGCATGAAGGAGGAACTGAGAGCAACAAACACCAGTCAGAAGCTGGGGACTACTTCATCTCAGCTCTTAACACGTTAATTTCATAATTTTTTTTATTTGTAAGTCTATACAAGATCCTCCCAATTCCCACTTCCTTATTTTGTGATTTACAGGGGAGGGAAGGCCTTGAGTGTATGTGAATGCATGTGCGCACACAAATGCACAGCCACACACACACACACACACACACACACACACACACACACATGCACACACACGCACACACACACACCCCACAACCACACACACACTCACACACACACACCATCTAAAAATCTATTTCTTGTTGTGCAACAAAGAACTGGGGCTTTAGAGCAAGAGAGACCAGGATTGGAATTTCAGTTTGGCTACTGAATAATTTGGGGAAATCACTTTACCTCTCTAAACTTCAATTTCCTATTTGTAACATGGGGTAATAATTTCTGCCCATGGGATTACAATAGATTAGAATGGCTAGCTCAGTTTCAAGCAGAGTCTACTCTGAAGGAAAAAAAAAAGTATATTTTAAGATAAAATAATCATATGCATTTCAAAAGAAGTTAAATATACCTTTGAAATCCAAGGAAGTAACACTACATGCTCAGAAAAACAAAAGTAGTATTAAATTGAAGGTCTATGAATAGGCCACAAGGGCTTAGGGAGTAAAATATTAAGGGTAATTTGGTTGATTTTTAACTAAACACATAAAAGTATTTTGATCATAGAGACTTTTCCTCATCATTCCTCTCTCTGTGCATGTACCAGTCTGCATATACATATTTATACTACAACGAAATAGCCTAACTACACATTTCTGAGAATATAGCCCCACCTTTAAGTGGCACATAACAACAAAGCCTGGATGACAGCACATCTGTTTACAACACCATTTACTGAATATTTTAAGCCCACAGTTGAGACCTACTGCTCAGAAAAAAAAAAAAAAAAAAGATTCCCTTCAAAATATTACTGCTCTTTGACAATGCACCTGGTCCCCCAAGAGTTCTGGTGAAGATGGACAATGAGATTCATGTTGTTTTCATGCCTGCAGACACAACATCCATTCTGCAGCCCAGGGATCAAGGAGTAATTTCAACTTTTCAGTCTTATTTAAGACATACATTTTGTAAGGCTAAAGCTGCCATAGATAGCGATTCCCCTGATGGATCTGGGCAAAGTCAATTGAAAACCAGGAAAGAGTTTGCCATTCAGATCAACACACTAGGTAACTTGCCAGATGCCATTAAGCACATTCAAGATGCATGGGAAGAGGTCAAAATTCACAAGAGTTTGGAAGAAGTTGATTCCAACCCTCATGGTAACTTTAAGGGATTCAAGACTTCAGTGGAGGAAGTAACCACAGATGTTGGTGGAAACAGTAGAACTAGAATTAGAAGTGGAGCCGGAACATGTGACTGAATGGTTGCAATCTCATGATAAAACTTTAACAGAATGAGGCGTTGCTTCTTAAGGATGAGCAAAGAAAGTGGTTTCTTGAGATGGAATCTATTCCTGGTGAACAAACTGTGAACATTGTTGAAATAACAACAAAGGATTTAGAATATTACATAAATTTAGTTAACAAAGCAGTGGCATTTTGGCCATTTTACTGAAAGGGTTTAGGACAGAAATGTACTTTATTAAATAAATATGTCTGTAAGGCCTGTATTCATATGGTTATTTCCAAACCAATTAAACAGTAAAGCATTCCTATTTAAATTTTTGGTTCTATAATTGAAATTTCATTTCTTTCATCCTGAAAATCTTTATTTCTAACCAAATTGTATATTGTTTATTTGCCATACTGGCAACTCAAGAAAGTAGATCACAGATAAAATAGAGGGTGTCCTGAATTCTTAGTGTAGTTTTAAATTATTAAAGCTTAAAACTACAACAGACGTTTGGGATACCCTGTACAAAGTTATGCATACAACAAAACTACTGAATTAATTTCAAAAATTCTACGTGATTCCTTTTATTTTTAGATTACATGGATTACACCAAAGATTTGCAGTGAAGTTACTAGTGTTAGAACCCACAGAGCCATGATACTTGACTGTGTGTGGTGGTGTAATAATTACTAGTTTGGAAATGGTCGGTTCCATTGTTTCAGTTCACCTTTAATTTGAGACCACTGATGAACGTTCTAATGTCCTGAAAGGCTTCTGCTTTTAGCTACTAATCTTCTCGTGGTGGAGATTGCCAACTTCTATAATAAAGAAAGGTCCGACTTTAAATAGAAATGTGGGAAAACACTCTAAAATTGTGTGACATGGTTTTATTTCACCACCATCCACAATATTTTAATACATATCTATAGACACAAGATCCATATATATAGTTTCACCTGAATAAAACAGCGCTGTTTCATATTATTATTTAATTTCTAATAGCTTGAAATTACTGCACCTTCATTCGTTCGATACTGTTTTTAACTCTACTAAATCCTAATTTTGTTCTACAAAATTTATAATTTACTTTTTTTGATCTACAGTACATCTTCTGTTATAATCAAACATATCAATTTGTACATATACTATAAAAATCCAAATGATTCTTCCAATTTTCTTTTCCCAGTGTACATCAAAGTTTCCTGTTTTTCATGGGAGTATGGGGAAATACCTTGCGTTTTATGTGATTTCTATATTTTTGTATGAGTAGCAAAGAACAATACAAGTAACTGTATTGAAGCACTTGAAGTTTTGCCTAATTGACTCATGGGTTGAAAACCACAATTTACTTTGTAATAAATATAAATTTAAGCATTTTAATGCTAATTAAGAATGTTATGTAATAGCATATGTTATATAACCAGAATATATAAACTAGAATACAATTACATTTTTAAGAAAGAAACTTTTTTTTTTTTTTTTTTTTTTTTTTTAGCTGAGCCATCCTGCCACCTGTTGGCAGCTCAGCGGCTGCTCAGCTCGGGCTGACTCGAACCGCTGTTGCTCAGAGCTCAAACTCTTGAGCGAGCTCTTAACCAACTGAGCCACTCAGCCGGCCCTACAATTACATTTTTAAAAGATTACTGGAAAATGTGTCCATACCTTTGGACCATACCTCAGAATTTTCATGAAAAATTTTCTAAATATTGAATTTCTAGGTTATCTGGATTTTCTAGAAGCATTTATAAAATACAGTGGTTTTGCATTTATTACACATTTGAATTATATATAATACACTTCAATGAAATCTCTTACTTTACATCATATTTACACAAAGCTTTAGCTTTACACTAAATTTTGGTGCAGAAATCTGAACTTTTACATGGAATGAAGTGACAATCCCCAAATTCCCATAATTACATTTAGTAATAACTATACCAATTACTACAAAGTAAAACACATAATTGCTTTCTTAAAATTAAAACAATAAACCACCCAGTTTAATTGCAAAATAATTTTTTCCCATTGCAAGTTAAAAGGCATTTAATACAAATTCCTTGATTTTGACTATGTGGCCAGGGGGAAGAAAGTCTACAACAGGAAGTTTTAAGACCCACTATTTACCTGATAAAACGGAGAAAGGTATTCATCTATTCTCATCTTCTGGAACCTGGGTTTTGGCGAGTAGACCCCAATCTTTAGACCCAAGCCACTTTTTCATTCCTTTGCCAGTGACTTTTTCTTATTAACCTAAGGTTAATTTGTTCTTTTGGAGCTCAGGGAAAAATAGGTTCTTGGTTTGAAAAATCTAACTCACACAGGACCATGTGGAAGGGTCCTTCCTGTGCCTGGCTCAGCTTCTGGGTTCCCAGGCACTGCTGCTCAGGTGCTGTAGGCCCATCTGAGAACTCGCAGAACTACAGCTATTAGGTACATACTAGAGAGGGTTTCTCCACCTTCCACGTGCGTCTGCTCTGAATGATGGTTTCTGTAAATCTACGAAGCCTGTGGCTGTTGCTGAGAGGAGCAGGGCAACTGTGAGAGCAACTTAGAGAAATCCCTGTTGGGCACACTCTCTGGAAGACCTCCTTCTCTGGAAATAGCACCCAAGATAAGTGCCCACAAGCAAAACACTCTCGGGCGCCTACTTCTCCCCACTCTTAGCATTCTCATGTCTGAAGTGTGTAGAATGTGATGGCAGTGTCAAGGGCTGAGGAGGAGAAGATGGAAGAGACGCTAGGGACTTAAAAATCTCATGGCACTCCCTCAGAAGTGTCCAGAAAAAATCAATTTGTTTAAGACTGTTAGCTTGTCCCTCAAAATGTTGAGGACATTGGGAGCAACACCAATAGGCAATTAAATGTCAAATGGTTTCGCCTGGTTTTTCCCAGATCTGGATGAGTTTACAGATATCACTGTTGCTGTTCAATTGTTTATTCATAGAGTCAATGCCAAGTTTGGAGTGACTGGAAAATTAGCCTCTGTGAATAGTCTGCTTGGAACAACTAAAGGTACATTCTGGAAAATACCTGAACCTATCATGTTATTGAACCAGGAGTGTCAGTGATGAATTTCACTTGCTCTTGTGAACTTAGCCATCATCACTTCCGTGAATTTTTGTCAGAAATAGAAGCCGAATATTCTGACTTGCCCCACACCACAGCAGTTTGGTGGCTTATCAGCAGTAAAGTTTTCTTGCAGTTTTTTTTAGCTAAGGGCAGAGATTGAAATATTTGTGAGAGAGAAGAATCACCCTTGACCACTATTATTGAACACTGAATGGCATTGTGAATTAGCTTTTGCTCCAGACTTGATAATATTTCCTGATGAATTCAACCCAAAATTACAAAGCAAAAGAGTGCTTATGTGAAAACCTTATATTGGATAAAGTTATTTTTGTGACAACCAATATAGTTAGAGTCACATCATGTCAAGTTGTTTTGTAAGCTAGTGAATTAATATTATCATTTGATAGTATCTATCTGTGTGAAAAGTAAGATCTCATTAGAGAATCAGCATTAACAGATAAAAATTTGCTGTCAATTTGGATGAAAGGGAACCCCAATTTTGAGAAATGTTATCCTCTCCTCCCTAAAATTTATTCTCATTAATATGTCTGTATTACAAAATATTGTAATCAATTATTGTATTTTGAATTTAAAAACTTGTGGAAAAATTCACATCATTTTTGTTTGCAAACATATTTACCCTGTCTATGGCCAAGAAAATCAATATACTGTATTTAAATACACTATTTGAATTCAGACTCATCAGATTTCATGATTATTACCATTTATATTTTGTTTGTATGAGGGCATCTTTTCAAATAGATAATCCTTGAAATTCTGAGATCTCTACAATTATTTTTAATTAAACAGCCTATAATTAATTTGTAATATAGGTATCAGTTCCTCTAAAGTATGAGGGTGGTCTCTTACTCTTAAGGGCATTTTAGAATTTCCTGATAAGAGTCCTCAAAGTTTTCTATTGCCTCCCTCTTGAAGTCCTTAATGAGTTTCTGTGGCCTCTCCTGGGAATTAAGGAGTTTTATTTTTCTTTTTAAAGCCTTCTCTTCCTACAGATACCATGATTCCATCTGTCTGAGATAGGCGTTTGATAGTTCAGGGCACTTTGGTACTGAATTAAACTGAAGAAATCAAATAAATTTAGGACAAAAAAGGAAAAGAAAGGAGTGCTGGGATGCCTTCCTGACCCTAGAACTGAGGAATGCACCTTGAAACCTGATGTAACCTAGGGGCAAAAATAGTAGATCCCTGGTTTTCGTTTGTTTATGTGGTTTGTTTGTTTTCTTGCTCATTTTTTGGTTTTTCTCTGGTAATAGAAATAACACAGGTACTGGACAGTCAAAAATGCATCCAGGCTCCGTTTATGGTTCATACCTGAAACCACAAAGTTTTTCTGATCTGAAAACTGCTCAAGTATGAATCATAGCCCACCCTCGCCTGGAAGTGAAGGAAAATAAGGAAGAAAGCATGAAAATAAGAACTTGCACGTGTCCTGTAGGCTGCCTCTGCTATTTTCAAGGTCTGCATGGCTCAAAAATTCTACCCGGGTTATGGCACATTTTATGTAGGAAAAAAAGACGAGGAACTCAGTATCTTGAAATATGGTTTGTGTCATTTCATGAAGATCCACAGGCAGGAAGAGCTGAGGTGAGGCACTCACCCAGCTTCTGGTGTGAAGATCTTGAAAAAACAACAAGACATGTATGTACATTTCCTGGTCTTAGAGATGGTGAGAAATTGTCCGATTTAGAAATCTTTTGGAGAGGGAGCTGACAGGACTTGTCCCTAGACTTAAGTGTTGGATATGAGATAAAGAGATGAATCACAGATGATTTCAAGGTATTTATGAGAATAACTGGAATATGGTGTACCATTGGGTGGGGAGAAGTTTGAGAGGAGCTTTTTGAGGATGGTGAGATATCAGGAGTTTCCGCACATGTTAAATTTGTAAAACCCTTTGGACGTATGTGGTCACAATCTCTCCCTCAGCAACAGAACTGACAGCCAATAGAGTGTGAGGTTGTAGACTCTTTTAGCAACAGTATGAAAGAGTTTGTAGCACCTTTCCCGAGCAGGCTTTGTGATTGACTGTCACTGCCATTGGTGTTAATCAGCTACATTTCTCAGAGGTCACCTCACGTCTCATAGCTCTTCACCTCTCCCAGCCTACTTGGCCCAAGAGCTACCATAATCTGCTTGACTTGAACTTCTTTTTTGCATTGTTTATTATCCCTTCACTTTCATTAAAATATGAGCTCTGTGAGAGTCATTAAATACTGGGATGAATGAAATGTTGGAGGGGAATATAAACTGGAATCTCCCTTTCTTCCTCTTTTTTTGTCTCTCTTTCTCTCAATTTGCATTAGAGCTTGGGCCCTTTCTCTCCCAAAGTTCTTATGATAATCTTTTAAAAAAGATGCTGCTAGTGTATCCCCAAGTAATGTACTACCAGAAATCAGGCACTGTATCAGGGTTGATGAGATCTCTATTTACGCTTCGGTCATGGGCCCACCCCTATGTTAGGGGAAGAGATGCCCCTTACTTTAATAAGGAGCTCAGTCACTCTTAATAATAAATAATAATACTTATTCTCCTCTATTTTTTTATGTCCCCCCCTCAGGCACCCACCTTGGATAAATGTTATAGCTTCTTAGTCTACTTTCTACATTGTCTTATATCTCTTTGCTTTTTTTCAATTTTCTAATTTTTTTCTGGCTTAGTTCTCTTTTGATTACTGACCTTACTCTCAAGTAACCAAATTATGTCTTCATGTTCAATTTAGATTAAATATCTCTATGCTCTTAAGTCATGTAACCTGCTTTCCCCTTTAATACATGCTTTAAAATATCTTTGTTTTTCTCTTTCCTTGAGATCATTCAGTATACTCATTTAAAGTCTTATTGTTGTTGTTTTCTAGGCCGATATACTCTCAACATTTTATTTTCAGCTGGTTGGTGATTTTTCATGGCCTATATTATCTTCAGGTACTTGAAAGTTTTGTAGACGCATCTGGAGGGAGAGTCCTGCCCTCCCTGTCCCCTCCCCTAATGCTTGCCTGTCTGCTGGCATTTTAGTTTCCTTCATCCACCCCTCTCTGGGGTGTCCAGTATCACACTGGTCCAGTACAATACTAGATCTTACATTAGAGGCTCAGGGCTCCCAGCCAGCAGATGGCTTGGTTGGGTTTCTTATTCATGGCTGTTTCTGCTTCTGTGAGCCATTCTTAGGTATGATGGTTTTGCTCATTTCCAGCCTTTGTTTACCAGTGAGGCATCTCATTCAGCCTCATGTCACACTGCGAACCTGGTTTCAAGAACAGGGTATTTTGCATCCCTTTCCAGCCTCTATCTCTTCCTGGTGCTGGGATCTCAGTAGGCTTTGGTAATTCTAGCCTTCTGTTTGCCAATCTATTTTGTTTTCCTTTTAGTCCATGATAATGTTTTATCTTGTATTGAGCATGGTTCTAGCTTTTAAAATGTTTTAAAATGTATTTTATCTATTATCCGTGTGTGTGTGTGTGTGTGTGTGTGTGTGTGTGCAGACAGCAGATTTTTATGTGAATTTACTCTATCATCTTGACTTGAAGCTATCTCATTGATTAAATACTTCAATTTACACTGGCATTCCAGAAAATAGATGAATGGGCTCATCAGATAAATATGCTGAGAATTAAAACAAAAATTTTCTGGGAGGAAAGAGTTGTAGTGACAAGAGAGAAATAACTCAGAGTATCTTTATTATTACCACATATATAATTAAATCTTTTTTAGCTATGCTAGTCATTTACCTTCATGTTATAAGAATCAGAAACTTCAGTGGAATTCACTCTAGCTAATGGGGGTTTAAAATAAGGATGATGTTCAGGAAAAAACAACAGAAGAGTTCAGTCTCATTGGCTCCTGAAATATTGCTCATGACTATTTAGGGCACACCAGCTTCTTCAGTGGCCCAGCTACAGTGCTGGGACCCAACAGGACGCTATGATCCTTTGGTGGCCCCTGCAAATCTGCTTTTATCTCAAGGCGCTCTGTCAACAAATAACTCCTTTCAGCTTTTTGCAGTCTGCTTGCTCCTGTATTTTAATGCCTCACGGCATCTGTTTATGGTCTTTTCCTGCTACTTCCTTGTTTCTACTGTTACAGACTGAATATTCATGTCCTCCCAAATGCATATGAAGCCTTCAGTTTCCAATGTTTGGAGGTGGGACTTATAGGAGGTAATTAGGTTTAGTGGAGGTCATGAGGATAGTGCCCTCAGGAAGGAATTAATGCCCTTAGAAAAAGAGAAAGACACAAGAAAGCTCCTTTTCCACGCGAACAGACAGAACAGGTCATGTGCGCACACCATGGAGTGGTGGCCATCTGTAAGTTGGGAAGGGAACCCTCACCAAGAACCTGACCTTGGACTTTTCAGCCTCCAGAAGCATGAGAAATAGATATCTGTTGCTTAAGCCCCTCAGTCTCTGGTATTTCGATATAACAGCCTGAGCTAAGACATCTACCTTTACGATCATG